ATTATATTTATAATTATTCATTATTTTTATATTTATTATAATTATAATTATTAATATAATTATATATTTTCAATTTATTACTATAGTAACGAAATAGTTATTGGAAATTCGAAATGCTCATTTTCTCTTTCCGTGTCCAACATTTTAGATTTATTTCGTTAATGGCAATAATTATAATCAAAAAAAAACAGAATTATAACCTCAAAATTTTCAGAATAATTTTCTGGTTCTTTTTTTTGGAAAAATTTTAGAACATTCATGAATGATTCCTATTTTCTATTGATTTCATTGCTTTTATGAATAAATAAATTTATTATTTGTTTAATTAATTCGCAATGATAACGATAATGATAATGTCGATTTTTGATAATTTTTTGAAAAATTTTTGAGAACTTTTTAAAAATTTTAGAAACTTTTAAAAATTAAAAAGAATTTTTTTTTTACACGGATAATAAACGTAACAAAATGAGAATGAGAAACGATAATTTATGATAGGGAAAAATTATCAGTATTCTTTGTTTGATTGATGATATAAGCGTTGATAAGGAGGCCAAAAAAAAATTAAAAATCATTGTCATTAAAAAATTTTGGCAAAATTATTTTTTTTAGAGATTCTTATTTTAGAGATACAACTGATTTATTTCGCAAATTTTACAAATCTAAAAATGTAGATAGAATTTTTGTATCAAAAAATTAGCCAAAAAATTTATTTTGTTTGAGTATTTCTAATGATAATGACAATGATAATTGGTAACTTTCAATAATTTTAATTTTTTCGAATTTTTTAAAAATTTAAAAGTTGATTTTTTTTACAAAAAAATGAGAATAAAAATAAGAGTAAGGTTAGGACTAAGCCCTAAGCCTGATCTTAATTGCTGAATAAAACCTAAGACCTAACCTGCCTGATTTGCTAGATCTGAGCTCTAGCACAAGCCTCGATCTAAAAACTTAGGCTCGACCTCGAACTCAGTCCGAAATTAAGCGTTTTTTTATTATAAAAAAGTTCTTGGAAATTTTTCTATATTTCTTTTTTTAAAATTCATTTAATTTAATTCATTTTGAATTATTTTTATTTTTCTTTTGATTTATCCATGAGTGGGGTGGGGAAGAGGGGAGAATAGCCTGGTGGCTTGTCGTTTTAAAAGGTAAGCATTCAAATCCTACCACACATGGTAGTGAAATTGTCATAAATTATTTCTATCGTCAAGTTGAATCACTACCATTCACTATTGGCGATCCGACTGTACTTCTATCGTCAAGTGACTAAAGCGACTCATTAGTGAAGCGACCAGTAATGATGCAAACCTACTTATGCCTATAACCTACCTATCTTCATTTATCAATTATCATTTTATTATCGTCATTTTTCCAACTTTTCATCTTTTTGGGAAATTTTTTTAGCCCTTGAACTTTATCATAAATTTTTTATTAAAATTATTTCTATCGTGAAATTTTTATTATTTATTTTTATTTTTTATAATTTATCGAAAAATCATTTAAAAAAAAAAGATAGAGTAAAAATGCATTACTAATCTTTTTCATTTTTCCCCAACAAGGTTGAAAAAAGATAGAAAATATTTTTTTATGTCATTTTCATCGAAAAACAAACATCAAACATGCATTTGCTATTGTAAAGGTGGTAAACGAATAAGTCATCCATATGGTTCAATGTTTTTCAATAGTTTCGATGGTAAGTTGGATTTTTTTCTATATTTTCTACATATTTATTATTATGCATGCATGCATGCGTGCATATATGCTGCACGCACGCATACGTGCAATCGTGCATGTGTGCATGTTTCATCTTCATCTTCAGATTTAAATTTTTTCCTAAAATTGCTTTAAAATCCTTGTTTTTTCGTTTTTTTCCTCATTTTTATAACTTATAATTTATAATATTGTATTTTTTATTTATCAAAGAATGCGGAGAAAGGGGGGAAGGGGGGGGGGGAGAATGGAAAATCTATAAATTTAAATTAAATCTATCAAATTAAAAATCTCTAAAAATATCGAAAAAATACTGGGATACAACAGAATAATCTAAAATTCTGGAATTCCTTCGAGAAAAATTTTCTCACGAAATTGTTTTATCCAAAATTGGACTCCTTTTTCTTAAACTTTGTGCGATCCTAACGATAGTGCGGAAAGGTGGATTCCAGGATTTCAAACCCGTAATCCATCGCTGCCTCTAAATCGCTTGATAATTTATTTTTTATCCGTGCCTTCTTCGGGAATTCCATTATTTGTTGGCTATTGATCGGGTTTTATTCTTTTTTTTTCCAATATTATTTAATATAATTTTCAAATTGTATCGATGAATTCTTTAGCTTTAATTATATTAAATTAAAATGAAATTTTATTCGCCTATCTTTAATTAGATTTAAAATGAAATGGAAATTTAGAAATTTATAAGGAAATTTTTTTTTAATTTTTTTTTATTTTATTTTTGAGTGCAAATCAGAAACCATAAAAAGAATCTCAAAGGCCTTAGACTGATATAGTCAGAAAAGATTTTGAACGTATAGGCTGATGTTGCAGCGAAATGAGCTTAGACGGTGGAGAACGGAATGGCTTTCTTTTGCTTTCATGGCGTTATGAGATAGGACGCCTTTTCCCTTATCGCTAATGGAACCAACTTCTACCGAAGGCCAAATTAATTAAGCAGATCAATATGCATATTATAAAACCTTTTGACCTTATAAAAAAGCCATTTGACCGCCGTTGGTAAAACAATGTCAATGTCAAAGGTCAACAAAGTATTGTGAAAAAAGATAAAAATAAAATTTTATTTTGAAAATAATAAAAAAATACATAATACAAAATATAAAAATGAAATCAAAATTTTCATTTTTTGAAAATTTTGTTCCTTTAAAAATATTTTAATTTTAATTTCCAAATTTTTTTTTCGGTTTTTTATATAAACTAATTTTAATTTATATTTTACTTAAAATCCCTATAACTTTACTCTTTTTTTATCTAAAATCCAAAAATTTCCAAAAATCTTTTTAATATATTTATATTTTTGTAAAAATTTGCACAAAATTAAAATATTAAAATAAAAATTAATTAAATAAAAATATAAAAAAAATTTTATATTAATTTTGTTTTTAAAAATTGTCATTTAAATTTATATTAATATTTTAAATATTGAATGATTTAATCGTTACAATTAAAAGTTACAATTCTTCATTCTTAAATCCTTTTTAAATCCTTTTCAAATCCTTCTTAATCCTCGTTTCAACGAATTTGCGTCGATGTTAAATTATATATAATTGTTTTTTGATGCATAAAAAGTCCAGAAATTGATCCTTTAAGTTTTTTTTCGATAATCTCCTCCTCTTATAGTCGAGTTTGTTGTCAACAAAATTCCCAGATTCTTTATCGATAGCACTTCTTAGTAATTGATAAAATTACTTTGAAAAAGGCAAAACTCTTCGAGAAAAACCACTTTCCCATTTCTAAATTTTAATTAATCACCTTTATTATTATTTTTAATATTATTACTATTAATATTACTATTATTATTGCTATTATTGCTATAAATAATTATTAATTATTAAAATGGATCATTTTCAACATTTTCGTCGAGCTTTATCACTTATAATGCAAAATTCGGGTATTTTATCTAATTTTTTTTCAATTTTTATCAAAAGAATAACTTATATTTTCTATAATATTTATATAACGAAATGTCAGATTTCGAGATTTTTTCAATTTTTTTCTTAAAATTATTTTTATTTATCATTATTTTTATTTATTATTGCTGAAATTATTATTTTTTTTGCAAATTAAATCAATTAAAAATTCCAGAAGATGGATTTTTTTACAAAAAAAAGTAGAAAAAAACCATCAAAATGAATATTTATTGAATATTATTGTTTTTTTTTACAAATATTTTTATTTTTATTTTAATTATTCATTTCCTTTGGATATTCATTTATTTCGTTAAGCTAAATTTCAAATTTAGCTAAAAAGAAAATTGGCTAAAAAAAAAAAGTGTCATTTGGCTTTCGACAGAAAGACCAATCAAATTTTAAATTTTAATAATAAAATAAAATAAAAAACACTGAGAATAAGCCATAGCCCAACGATCTATGAGCCAAATGAATTTGTAAAGCGATAGCGTTAAGCAAAAATTTTCGTAATGAATTTCGAATCGCCTAGAAACAAATTATAATTCGCTTAATAAAGATGGCCTATGGCCCAATCTAAAGAGTACCAACGATAGCCTATAATTTAATGCATATAAAATGCATATGGACCCAACCTAACTAAAATAGAAATCCAGAGAATGGCTGCAATATTCAATATCGCAGCTTTTGCTCGGCTTCAAACTGCAAGGATTTTTTTTTTATTTTTGCAAAATATTTAATAGCCTATATTTTCGTGAAAGGTTTTAGCTTTTCCTCTTTTAGTTTCATTATTTTTTAATAATAATATATTTTATATTTATTTTTTATATTTAATAATTTTCATTTAAAAAAACATATTTTTGGAATGATTTAATATTTTTTTAAAATAATTTTTAATAATTTTTATTCAAATTTTTTGAGATCTTTTTTTTATTTGTTTTTTTTTAATAAATTCAATAAATTTTATAATTTTTTAATTTTAATTTAACTATTTATAATAATTATTTTAATAATTTAATAATAATTTATTAGAATTTTTAGGAACTTCAAATAACGTGTCAGATCAACTTGCAATTAATAGTGACGACGAATCCGAATCGATTTACACGAACGCCGTTAAACAACTCGAACAATTACATATTGATAGAAAACAAAGTTTGTTAATCACGTTTATTTGTGTTAATTTGACTTATCCGCTTAGACCGTTGACCTATTGACCTATTGATCCGTGTTATTATTTTAAAATAGATCAATAAGTAGGATTGTATTCTTTGCTTACTTATGATATGATGATATCATTATTTTTCAGGTATTTCGACACAAGTTTTAAGTGCATTAATTGGTGTGCCTAGTGCAACTCTTCGAACAATGGGTCGAGTTATGCGAGTTGTGGTATTTTTTTGTATGACATTTTAATCGTTTTGAATTAATAGTTTTAATTTTTCGGACAAAATTGGAAAAAAAAGAAGAATATTTCTTTTTTATTTTTTCAAAATTTTTTATGAATAATGAAATTAAAATTTTGTATTTACCACTGTATTTTTATTTATATTTATATAAACTTATTTATTCATATTTATGTAAATATATATTATATATTTATATTTATGTTTATTTATATTTTTTATATTTATTTATATTTTTTATAAATTTCTAGAAATTTTATTTTTTTTACAGATAAATCTAATTGAATATATTTAGGTTGCAGGCACGAAAAAAGTTGGAAAAACAGCTTGTTTACAGCAAATAGCCTGTCTTAACGATATTACAAAACAGGTAATTTTTTTTATAAATTATCTATAATTTTATAAATGAATTTTATTTAATAAAATAGTTTATAATAAAGTTATTAACAAATTTTTAAATAATTTCTTCAAAATCCATAGCCTTTAGCCGTATGTGCCGACAATCGATGATACATATCAAATTCAAATGGATTATGGTGAACATTCAAAAGAAATCGTTGTTTTTCATGATACAGCTGGGATTAGTGATTGTGGAGCGGCCGAATTGAAAAAGCCTTATATTCAAGTAAATATGATACCACAAATTTCTATGCAATCTTCATTTATTCTTTCTCTTTGAGAAAAATATTCACCATTCCTGGTTAGGCTCGTCGGCTGTACTCATTTATCGAACCAGATAAATTCTGAGAAAATTACTTGGTTACTTGGTTATAAAAATGCCGGTGGATTATTAGCACCACCTGGATTGAAAAATTGTTCATTTCACTTTTGTTAAGTGTAGAACTCCCGTGAGAAATTAATACAACCCATTGAGCCATTGTTCTACAAATTTTAAAAATTTATCAATTGATATTAATTGATTTTCTTATTTTTCTCATTTTTATTTTTTTTACGTAATAGGTAGCCGATGCATTCGTTCTTGTTTATTCTGTCACTAATCACGAAACGTTCAATCGAATGGATTTATTAAAAAAATTCATTGAAAAGCAATTTGGTAAAGATAAAAAGGAGGTTGATTTTTCACAATTTTTTTATTGAGCTTTTCGTCTAAAAGTTTCTTAATCCTTGTTTTAACTTTTTTCTTTTAGTCATTGGCATTAGCATTGAAATAAACCAATTTTTATGTTGAATTAATTGCTTTCAAATAAAAATTTTAAGGTTCCAATCGTTGTGCTAGGTACGATGATTGATTTACCAAATCGAAAAGTAAATAGCGATTTCGCGCAGAGTTGGGCAACAAGAGAAAAAGGTTTGTTTTTCTTATTATTTTCCTATTTCTATTTTACATCAGCAATTCTGACAATTTTGACAAAATAGTGGACAATTAGTCATTTTGAGTTCGATTCCTCTTACCTGTAAATCTACCAAATCTGAGTAATAGAATAATAATAATAATAGTTAGTGGCAGAAATCTTTTTTTATTGTTGTCCTGAAAGTGGCTGTCTAATAAAAGTGATTTTACTACAGTGGCCAGCAAGGCATGAGTTTAATTAAAAAATTGCGTTGGCTTATTGAAAAAAACAGCAATTGGAGTTCCAGAATTCCTGAAAGAAGCCTTTGTCTTGAAAGACGAGTAAAATAATTTTCAGTGAAATTGTATGAAGTAACCGCAGGCGATCGAAGCACTCTCATTGATTTCGTAACATACTTAGGAAGTCGCTATTTTCATTCACAAAGTTAGTTTTCATAATTATTGACTTAAATTTGCAATTTATAATTCTTTTTTTATTTTTCGAAATTGCTGGAAACACATCAGAAAATAGCCCATAAAATTTTTATTGGATTACGCAGCTTTTCAGTTTTTTATAATTTCCTTTGATAATTTTTTCTTTTTAATAATAATAAGACATTTAATAATAAGACATCTTTTTCAAATCTTAAAATTTTGATTTCTTTTTCAGTTTTCGCCTTTTCTTATCTTTTAATTTGCAGGAGAACTGAAATTTTCATTGTCGAAAAAATTTAAGCCAGAAAAATCGAATTCTGCAATTGTAATGGATCTTTAATATTTGAATATATTTGTATATACCAGTTAAAGTTTTATTTTAACTTTCATTTTGCCATTATAATCCTTCAGCGTCGTGTAAATACTCTATCGTGCTATGCTTTCTTCTTTCCGTATTCGAATTTTTTTTGGAAATAAATCAACCGTGTGAAAGGTGAATCAGTGAATTAATTTGTGAAACGGTGCTTTTATATGTATTTTAGATTAATTCTCTCGTAAGTCTTTAAAAAATTTATCACCAAATGTATAATAATTCTTTCGCTAAAGTAATGAAATATTTCGAAAAAAATTTTCTAAAAAAAAAAATTATTGATGAAAAATTTTCGATTAAGTAAATTCAGTGCCTTAATTTATTGTTTTTTAAAATTATTTGTATTTCGTATAATATTTTATTTAAATATATTTTAAATTTATAATTTATTTTGTAAAGTAATTTTGTAAAGTAAAAAATTTATATAAATAAAATATTATTAAAGAAAGTATTATTATTTGCACGGTTTTATTTATTCACAGCGAAAAAATTTTTTAAAACGAACCAAGGAGGACACTAAAAATATATTTATATTTTTTGCGACGAAGCTCCGATTTTCCTGAACCGAATACCATTTGCAGGAAATTCAGTTGTCAGTACTTGTGATAGCGAGAGTAATGTATAAGGATTATTTGAAGAAATAAGAAATAAGACATTAAATAAAATAATAAATAATAAAAATATCTAATAAAAGAATAGACAGAATTGATAAAGACTGATAAAACTGATAAGAATTTAAATCAAGCGATCCATGGCCATTAACGAAAAAAAACAAAAGTATTTATTCTAATGGTGAACTAAAGGGAAATCAGTGGATTCTTGATAAAGCTTTTCTCTTACGACTAAGGAACTGATATATTATACGGTGAGAGTCGTGGTACTTATGATTTCAGGAGATCTGACTTCAAAGTAGAAATTCTAAATTAGGATCAGCGTGGTCTTCGCGATTTTTTATTCTTCGCTAATTCTTAACGAAATTTATCAACAATAAATTGCAGTAATACTGGAAATGTCCGAGACTTATTAGCAACAGGAATCATGGATATTTTCATGCTTCTTCATTAGCTGCACCTAGCATTCTATCCCTGTAAGATATGCCTGAGGTTAAGAAGAGATTCATATGCTTCACCAGAGGTCTATCAAAGAGCCCATCTGTAACATAGAAGGATCCACAGGTTTTACCAGAACTACCAAAGAAGGTCCATAGCACCAAAGAAAAGATCCATAAGTTTCATAGATTTCAATATAAAATTATCAAATAATATTAAAGAATTGAGCTGTACAAAACAGTATAAAAATATACCCTACAAAGAATACCGCAGAAACCCGCAATAGAACGGAACCGAACGATTATAAGGCGTAGTGCGAACGCATCCGAATTTTCCATAGAGCGATGTATACGATATTTATGAAACACAATTAATTTGGACGACATTTCGGTACGTCATCGCTCGTTTATCGAGAAGTGCCGCACTATTTTTTAGTGCAAAGGTTAAAGGTCGGGTTAGTGGGTAATTAGACGATTTGGTGATATTTGAAAAATTTAAGAGGAGCAATTTGTGCCAATTTGCTAATCTCAGCGTATAAGAGCGTGGGGGAAGGGGAGGGGGTGAGCGCTTTCCATTTATTTTTATTTAATTTTCTTATTTTTAATTTATATTTTTTTTATGTTTTATTTTATATTTTTTAAAATACGTATATATCTTTCATTTAAGTAGTAGTTTACAGTAAAAATTTTATTTATTTAATAATTTTTAATTTTGTTTTGAATCAGAATGGGGATTTGAACGGGGTTTTAGAGGGGTTTAAGATTTGAGGGTGTTTTCTTTTCGAGGTTCGAGGAAAACTTTAGTTTCCATATTCAGCGCATAATTTTTCATAACGGATTCCGCATGAAACTATTATTTTTATTTAATCTTTCACTTATAAAATTTATTTATTGCAAAGATTTGGTTATAACTGTCGCTTAACCTTTATTAATATTTTTCTTATTTGAAATTTGAAAATTTTCTATAAGTTTTAAAAATTTATTTTTTTTTTAGGAATTTATTTCTGAATAAGAAAATGTTGGATATATCAATATTTACTAAATTACTTCCATCAATAAAATCGAATGGCTTAGATGATTCAGTCGATCGTTTGCATAGTTTTGCTACCGTTAGATTTCTCATATTTTGTGCAATTTTTATCGGTGGTAAACAATATTTTGGTGAACCATTACAATGCATGTTACCAGCTCATCTCGAACGTTAGTATTTTTATTTTTCATATTTTTATTTATTTATATTTTTCATTTTCACTAAATATTTTAATTTACTAAAATATTTTTAACTTGACGCAGAAATTCAATTTTTTAAAATATGAATTATTTATTAAATATTTATTGACAATTTACAAATAAACTTTCTAATAATTGTGGTTGATTTTATTGTTAATATATTTAAGAATTTCTTAAGAATTTTAGGATGGTCATCATATGGTCAATATTATTGTTTTGTTGAAGGTACATATAGATTGTCGTATAATAAAGCTATACCGTCTGCTTCAGTTCGTGCAGACATGAAAGCCGCGAAAGATATTAATGTAAATTATTATCAAGTAAGAGATAAGGAGATTCTATTTTTCGCAAAAAATTTATTAAAAAATTGAAATATTTATTGACGAAATATTGAAATATTCAAATGAAAAAAAATTCCACCGAAAAATTAATCAAATTTTTTTTCTGTTAGATTTATGTCAAACCAATTTTCAATTATCATATTATTTATTTATCAAAAGAAATGTATAATTTCGAATAAGATGCAAATTGTTGATAAAAATTTTAGTGGGTACCATATTTTTTTCTCTTACAAGCATTGCTCTTCCGGTTACCGAATTGGATTTGGAGATCGGTTCAGTCATTTGGTCGTAAGTTTTTTAAATTCGTTTTTAAACTTTATATTTCAAAAATATCAAAATTTTTCATTTATGTTTTTTGTCGCTGACAAGTTTTGGAAGGAAAAGACTACTGATACAGCGACAGGTGACTCATCAGCTTCATTCGAATTTTTGGAAGTGAAAATTTATTCCTGCTGGGGATAAAACCTCAGCACTTTGAATTGAAAATAAACCACTAAACAATTCTAGTCCTTCTTATTTTAAAATTAATTTATTCGAATTGCAATTTTTTTGGATATTTTATTTCTAGTTATTGATATGGAAACTATAGTTAATACTTCGATTTCATCGCGATATGAAATAGATATGTCGCATCGACGCGAAAAAATCAAAAAAATTGCTAGTTTTATCATCATGTCGATCGATTTTACCCACGAAATTCAAAAAAAAGTTCTTTTTTCAGATAAAGTGTTTCATTTTTTTACTCAGTATTTTACTCAGTATTTTTTTATACCATAAGGTAATATTTGAGAGATTTATTAAGATTTTCTTTTTTAAATTAATAGAAAATGTTCATTTTTCTTGAGGAGATTGGATATGCTATGGAATTCCTTGTTTATTTTTTGTTTTTCCATTGCATTGAAATTTTCTTTTTCATCAGAAATGAAAATTTCTTTTAAAAGCAAGCAATCAAACAAATTTGACATTAATAATAAATGAAGTTCACTATGGAATTACTATTTCTATGCAATTTTCTATAAAATAAATAAATACTTTTGTGCAAATAATTTTTAGGATGTATTTAGTAAAATTGCTATAACTGGATGGAATGGATTTGCAGCAACTGTTTATCTAATATCAAAGATACTCATTTTGATTAACGATTTCCTCCAACTTTATTTGATCGGAATTTTTATTGGTATCGATGATGTGATGGGAATATTTTTCAATGTAACGAAATTTTTCATAAAAATTCATTTTATATAAACTGATTTACTCAATGATATGAGAACAGCTGTTAATATATAAAGTTGGTTGGATTTATATTCCTTTGGGGGTAGAATGGCTCAGTGGGTTGCTGCTCAATTGGGAGCACCGATGCTGAGGTTCGATTTCCCCGCAGGAGTAAACCTGTGCAAAAATCAGGGTGATGCTGACCTTTGTTTCTATCGCCAAAGAACTCCCTGGTATATTGTCCAGTTGATGAGCCAGTGGAGCGAGTTTAACCAGTAATGGTGAGGAGTCTTTAAAAAAATATTCCTATTAAACTTATACAAGTTATACAAATTATATGGCCCTAAATTATTTAAAGAAAAAGTAGGAAAGTAGGAGTATTATATTGCAGAATAATATTTAGCTATCGTTATTACTTTGTTTACGGTTATATCTTTTAAAATATTTTTTAGCCATCTTCACTTGCAAAAGCCTTAATTTCTTCACCGAGTGGAAAATCATTCACATCTCGTTATTTTCCTTTGGTCACTTTTTGCGATATGGGCCGACATACGTTGAGTAATATAGAAATAAATACTTTACAATGTGTTATTATGCTAAATACAATCAATGAAAAAATTTTTTGTATTCTTTGGTATTGGATATTTCTAGTAAGTCGTTTTTTTTTTTATCAAAAATTTCAATTTTAACCACATTTTTAATTTGAAGCGATATAAGAATGAAAAATTTTTTTTGCAAAGAAGTACGAGTGAAATTTTTAATTTTTATTTCGATTTTAATTTCTTTTCTTTTTTTGCTACCAATCTTAATAATTTTTATTTAAATAATCGAATTTTAAAATATCATTTAGTTGACGATTATATCATTTATCCATTTGCTGCTCGTTATAGTTGAAATTACGCAAAGTCGTTGGCGTGAAAGGACAATTCGATTCCTTTTAAAAGTGATTTGCAATTTTATTTCAGATTTTGTTTTTCAAAATTTGATTTTCCAAGCAAATTTCCGAGAAAATTAAATTGTCGCAAATCCATTTAAATTAATTTTTTTCTTTAAATTTTCTCCCTTTGTCCTTGCACTTTTTTGTTTTTTGATTTTTTATATAAGTTTTTTGATCTCTTTGCTTATAAATTTTTTATAGCTATATATGATCATTTTTTATTAATAACCTTTATATGAAAAATGTTCGTCTGTACATTTCAATGATAATCAAATATCAATTTTCATATTTTATTACTCACGGAGCGAGTATTATTTATTTTATTTTTTCGAAATATTTTTTTATGTATTATATAAATATGACATTTCTAAATACAAATAAATATTTTTTTAGGGAGGTGGTGTCGATGCACACGGTGCTATTTCATTCAACAATAAGAAATTTTTCAATTCCTTCATGAGAGTAAAATTTTAGCCTTTTATAAGTTAATGAAATTTCCAAATTTTTAGTTTAGTATTTAAAATGATATATTTTATAAGAAAATAACTTATAAATTTGGTATTTTCTCTCAAAACTAGTGATTTAGAAATATTTTTTTCTGAGATATTTTGCGATATTCTTCAATTTGTTTTGGATATTTCAGTCGATTGCTAGTCTTGATTATGTTTTAAAAAGTTTATCCTTTCTATAGGAGAATTATTGAAATATTGTTTTAGATGAGAAAAAAATTGGTATTTTATTCATTTCAATTCAATTCATGTTTCAAATCTTATTTGCAGTATCTCGGTTTAGATGGAACCTTGCTTCTTTATTTCATTGTTAGTAACGCGGGCACAATAGTTGCGAAAGATATAATTCTGCAATTGTGGAAGCATTTTATTGATAATCTGGTAAAATATCTTTTTATTTTAAAATTTTATCCTTAGGAACCACTAGAGAAAATTTATAAATTTCAATTGTAAAGAGTCTATTTTTTTTAACTATATGCTTTTAGAAGGAATTAAATATCACATCGGATTCAGTGCATGATTCTAAGATCAAAAAACGCTTAATTGCCTCAGCTCCTCATGAAATTGGCCCAACCGATTTTAATCGTAATTTTTAATCTTTTGAATTTCGCTAATTAAAAAATGCTGAAAATGGTGCTTATTCATTCAAAATTTTAAAAATTTCAAGATTTTCGAGAATTTCGAGAAAAGAAATTATCATTTTTTTATTTCTCCCATAAACGCATTTAGACTCATTCATTGATTAATAGGAAATCGTGTAACTGCAATTAATATCATTTAAATTATGACATTAAAGTTTTATCTGATTTTTAACTAGGTTTTTTTTTCAAACATTTCAATTTACATCCGTCATTTTCGTTTTCGATTTTTTTTAATGGGAGATTTAAGGTAATAATTTTTCCTCATTTCAATAACATTTTACATTTTGAATTTTAAAGATTTTCAAATTTCTTAAATTAAATAAAAGAAGTTATCAAAAAAGTTAATGCAAAATATTGACTTAAAATAGTTGATATAATCGAAAACTTTTTACTGGTAAGTACTTTCAACGTTAAACAAGTCTCAAATGATTTTGGGTAAAGTAATTTTTTTTCCGTAATAAAAAGTTTCTATTTTTCAGATGATGGTCATCATTTGATGTGAAGTATCTGCTAATAATTTTTTGTTTAAAAGTATTTTAATTTACATGTGGAATTACATTTCTAATTTTTCTTGGCAATAACCTAATCACTTTTGAATCTGTGTCCTTTACCAGTTCTTTTTCTTCCCAGACATTAACTTTTCTTTCATATGATTTTTTTGAAATATATGAAAAATATCTCCAAGAACTCGTCGAATCAAATATTAAGTAAATATTTATTTATATTTTAAAGAATTGAATTTTAAATATTGTTCCTGGATTTAATTTAATAATAATTTTGCAATTACCGTATGCAGTAAAAGTTCACTATTGAAGAATATCGTGAATAGAATAGAATGGATTGAATTTTTTTATGCTTTTTTTCAGTTATGAACAGTTATGAATATATATGTCAGAAACATTCGTTTTTATCTGTTGAAAAATTTATAATCTCATTTATTAATCTTTCATTGGCTATTTTGGCTCTAAAAAAAGAATATAATTATTAAATAATTGAAGAAATTGAGATGGGATTGCTTCTGAATTAAATGATGACAAATATAATGAAATAAAATAATGAAATGAAAAATAATGTAATTAAACAAATAAATATATTTTAATAATGTGTTATCGGCTAAAATCAACTATTTTGAACTGCAAAATTTCTAAAAGAGGAATATTTAATGAATCAGTGATTGGCCAGGAAATTAGAATGTTTACGTATATTTCCCTTTTTTCTCGCTGTCTCATTTTATTTCCCTTATAAATTCACTTAAATTGATTCATGGGAAATCATAATTATAATTTTTATCGTTGTTTGATATTAAAGTTTTGTCTTATTTTTGATTAGGTTTTTTTTTTCAATTCATTTTTATCAATTTTCACTTTTCAGTTTTTATTTTTTTCCGAAAGATTTAAGGTAATAATTTTTCTTCATTTTTTCACATTAATATTTTATTTATTTATTTTGAATTTTAAAGATTTTCAAATTTCTCAAAATTTCTCAAAAATTTCTCAAATTTTTAATATTTCGTAAATAAAATATTTATTATTTTTTCTATTCTCTTTAATATTGTGAATATCTGAAATATTTTAGTTTTCTAAAAATAAAAAATTTTCTAAAAAAAATAAAAATAAAAAAGTTTATTTTTCTAAATTTTTTTTATAAAAATAATTCTAATAAAAAGTAAAAAATATAAAAAAGTTAAATAAGTTTTTTTTATTATCTTATTTTATTATTTTTTATTATTTTTATTTTTTTATTTTGATTTATCAATAATATTGGTTTTTTTTGGTAGTTAATGATTAATTCATTGTTAAATTTAGATTTTTCGTTGATATTTGGTTAGAAATATAATAATTAAATTATTCATGAATGAACGTAAAAAAAAAAATATAAAAGATTCTAAATTTCAAAAATATTAAAAAAATTTCCCATTGATTAAAAATTTTTTACAATCGTTTTTTTATAATTTTTCTATCAAAAATTCGCATTTCATAGATTTCTTTTAGATGCACTGAACTAGCAACGATGTTTTGATTTATCGATATTCTTCGCAGTCATAACGTTATTATTTTTTTATGGTGAAAATCTGGTTTGGCTAAGAAATCACCAAACTACTAAATAGCCTCCTCTTAATGTATGAGCATTTGGTCTATGTATGAGTCTTTGATCCTTTGGTCTGACGGCTAATATATCTGACGGAAATGCATAGAAGCTTGTGCAATTAGATTCGAAATTTTTTTCAGCCTTATTTATTTATTTATTTTTCAGCTAAATGGTATTTGCAGAGAGGTAAAAAAGCAAATAGTAATCGAAAGGAATAAGGTGAAAGCTATAAGTTTGGGCGAACAAGAAATTCTCCAGCCAAGTTTTCTAGAACGAAAAATAGCACTAGAATGGCTGAAAAATACATATTCTTGGGACATGCACAATAAAAATGAAAATGCATTTTTCATAAATTAAATTAATGCTAGTAGTAAAATATTATTTAAACAGTAAATAATAGTAAAATAATTTTAAATATAATTTATTTATTTATTAATTTATTATTTATTTATAATAATTTATTTTATAAATAAATATTTTCTAATTTTTTGGTGCATATTTTTTGAAGAATGAAAAAAGTGCAGTGATGTCGCAGATTATTTTTTTTTTAGTTTTCGATAAAATTTGTTTGTTCTTGAAGATAATTGTTTATATTGGATATATTAGAGGTGACAAAGATTGGACCATGTTTAAGCAACTCGTAATGAATTATTGCCTTTCATCACGTACATAGCCGTTGTTTCTGGTGTTTCTTCGATGATATTTCCACCGGGGATTGTTGTAGAGCATCCATTTTTTATCCGCAATAACGATTCGGTCAGTTCTTTTTTTTGTCGAAGTCGAAGAGGCAATGAAGTCGATGATCAGTGAAGTGAAGTGCCTTCCCATAAGTTGGTTTAGAATCCAAGCACGACTTATCTATCTTTACAGCTTGAAAATTTGCTTGTTATTTTAGCAATTTCATCCAATGTTTCTTTCGGATAAGCTTCGATGATGGAGAAAGTCAACAATTTTTTCAAAGGTCCGTTGGATCTTTGGATACCATATAAATTGAAAGCATCCACCTTTGACACTTCTTTACGTCTATTGTTTTCGAATGAGTATTTTATTTGCGTTCATTTCATTTTTTTGCCAATTTTGGTTGATCAGTAGTTTTTCTCGTTGAAATTCCTAGAATATTCAATGTCGCAAATGTTTCTCAGATGGTACTTCGCATTCCATTACATTGCCACTGGACAAATTTTCACCAAACTCAATGAAGCTCATAATATTACAGTATTTTCTAAACAAAACGTTTGTGATTTATGATTTGTGCTTGCTTTTTTTTTTCATGAAATCACTTTGCCAATTCATTTCAAAATTTTATTTCAGATAAGCGATTATATTTTTAGGGAGATTTTATTATTAATTTATTTTTTTAAAACTGTTATTTTAATATTTAAATTTTATAATAATTAGTTTATTTTTGATTTATTTACAATTTATTATTAAACCGTTTGAATCAATTAGTTGAATTATATTAAATAGTCGTTTTTTAAAGCACAGCTTGAATATAAATGGAAAAGATATGCTTC